GCCATTGCACTCCAGCCTGGGTAACAAGAGCGAAACTCCGTCCAAAAAATAAATAAATAAATAAATAAATAAAATTTTTTTTCGTTAGTTTGACAAATGTCTTTGGAGGACTTACTATGGAAAGGGCAAAGCTCTGATATTAAATATTTGAGATTCCTGGGTATATTGTGTCCAGATACCACTAAAACATCCTGAACACACTTTACTAAGATGTTGAGCCTATGAGTCAGTACTCAATAATTTTCTTTTTCCTTAGTGCTCCCTGAAGGTTAGACTGGTGACTCAGAGTTGACTCCATTCTCACTACAGAGGTTGCATCATGCATCTCTTTTAACAGGACTTGTAATCCTGCGGCAACATTGACCCTTTTTGGGTTGCATCAGTCCAGCATTAAGATAGAAATCATCATCTGACCATATTACAGCTTCTTTCATTTCAAGCAAACTTTTTTATATCACGGACCATTTCCATTAAAAAAAAAAAAAAAGCTCAATTTCAGCCTCATCATTAATGGTAACCTAATGTAACTCTCCTCTTTGTAAGATTTAGAATAGTGATACATGGCTAACTTTCAAAAGGAATTGAGTATATTGTGGTTTTATCTTTTTAAAACCAAGCATTTTACATATAGTTTCTAGTATATTCCAAAGCATAGTCACTTATGAATAGGAAAGTACATGGTCAAAACTAGCTTGCTGAACATTAAATGCCAAAAAATAGTATCCATGTCAAGTTATCGATAATTAACTGTTAGACACTGTGTTAAAGATTTACATACATTATCTCTTTCAATCTTTATGAAAGCATTTTTTTCTTACCCCTATTTTAGAGTGAAGGAATCTGAAGTCCCAGGAGGCAAAGAAACTTGCCCAGGAGATTGCACAGCCAGTTTGAGCCTTGGCAGTTTGATTTTTTTTTTTTTTTTTTTTTTTTTTTGGTGGGGTTTTTTTTTTTTTTTTTTTTTTTTTTTTTTTTTGAGATGGAGTTTCACTCTTGTTGCCCAGGCTGGAATGCAATGGTGCAATCTTGGCTCACCATAACCTCTGACTCCCAGGTTCAAGTGATTCTCTTATCTCAGCCTCCTGAGTAGCTGGGATTACAGGCATGTACTACCATGCCTGGCTAATTTTTTGTATTTTCAGTAGAGACGGGGTTTCTCCATGTTGGTCAGGCTGGTCTCAAACTCCCAACCTCAAGTGATTTGCATGCCTCAGCCTCCCAAAGTGCTGGGATTACAAATATGAGCCACCGTGCCTGGCCGGCAGTTTGATTTTTAACCTCTATAGGTTGTCATCTTGAGCTTCAGATTTATAAGACTTAGGGTTAGGCATGGTGGCTCCACACTTACTGTGATATATAAAATGCTGCTTTTAGGGCCAGGCACAGTGGTTCATGCCTGTAATCCCAGCACTTTGGGAGGCTGAGGCAGGTGGATATCTGAGGTTGGGAGTTTGAGACCAGCCTGACCAACATGGAGAAACCCCATTTCTATTAAAAATACAAAAAATTAGCCAGGCGTGGTGGCATGTGCCTGTAATCCCAGTTTCTAGGGCGGCTGAGGCAGGAGAATTGCTTGACCTTGGGAAGCAGAGGTTGCAGTGAGCTGAGATCATGTCACTGCACTCCAGCCTGGGTGACAGAGCAAGACTCCATCTCGGAAAAAAAAGAAAAAGAAAAGAAAAAGAAAACATCTATATGACCAATAGAGGAATAATTAGATGTACCATTTATTTTTTATTTTTTGAGAGGTGTTTTCCTCTGTTGCCCAGGCTGGAGCGCAGTGGCACAATCATAGCTCATTGCAGCTTCGAACTCGTGGACTCGAACGGTCCTCCCACCTTAGTCTTCCGAGTATCTGGAACTACAGGCATGCACCATAACAATGGCTAATTTTTAAATATTTTCACAGAAGGAGGCAATCTTTCTGTTTTGCCCAGGCTGGTCTCAAATACCTGACCTCAAGCTTCCCCCACCGTACCCTCCCAAAGTGGTAGGACTATAGGCATGAGCTGCTGCCCTTGGCATTACTTGAAAGACTTCTAAAATTTCTTCTCATGTTATATTTCTATGATTAGTAATGGCATTACCACTGTTCTACAACCTTCACACTACTTTCAAATACAGTATCTCATTTGATCCTTGAAGCAGTCCAGTAAGACTGGCAGGGCAGAAATTCCTGACATAGATTAAGAATCTGAGGCTTGGCCGGGCGCGGTGGCTCAAGCCTGTAATCCCAGCACTGTGGGAGGCCGAGGGGGGTGGATCACCAGGCCAAGAGATTGAGACCATCCTGGTCAACA